ATCAGTCTTAGATGTTCCAAAGGCTTCTCTTCCTAAAGAGTCAGAGATATATTATATGATATTAAGTAAGTGTATAGGTAAAATGCTTTAGCAACAACATATATGGAGGGTATTCACACAATGTATTTTTATCTTTAGTACTGCTCAATTATCGCGAGAAATATAACAAAGATCCATTACCTAGTGGAAGAGGTTCTGAGGATTTTAAGGCAGAAGCAGACAAAATTATTAAAAAATACGATCTTGAGAATAGGATAAATAATTTATTAGAGTATGTATCCAAAAAACTATCAGTTGTTAGTTCAGCCATGGGTTAATAAAATTTGTTATTAATTTAGGGGTGATATATACGCGCAAATTAGTCCAGTCTGTGCTATTGTTGGAGGTATTATGAGTCAAGAGATAATTAAAGCGGTCTCGCAAAAGGGCGCTCCACACAATAATTTGTTCATCTTTAATCCAGACACATTGTGTGGAAAAATTTTGAGATTGGGTCAGTAATCTTGTATCACGGTGTATGATTGTATGCTTGAATATTTCGGTGTACACGTGATTGTCATAACTTTCATAATTTCTCATTCCATGTTTTTTGCTACAAAAGTACAATAAATGTATGCTAAAAGAAAAAGAATACTGATTTTGTTGTTTTAATTTTATTCGTTGTTTCTTATATCATTGATAACTGGTATACCAAAGGCTATTACATATTTGTTTTACACATTTGCCTCGGGAAAGAATGTTTCTTGAGACTTTCCTGATATCTACCAAACAATTTTTCATTCGTCACACTTTACGTGTTTCGCTTCAAAACCGAAATAATTATATTGCTCGAGTTTTGAAGTTGTATCTTCAATTTATAATACTTCTCGATGTTCTCACACATACACACACCTGCACACAAGCTACATTTGCTATTCTTTTGCAGAATTATGATAGAAATATAAATGTTGAATGTGCACACTGTTGGTAAATGTGGTTTATCACAGGCTCGTACGTCCTAAGATATTTCTGTTCACCGCGAAAATACAAGCTCGAAGGGGTCTTCGCGTACGTGGAAATATGACTCACTTTCCCGGTTTCCGCCGGGGCAATTTGAGACCTGCTTTGCGGATTTTTTTCGTGCTCTCTCGCGTGGAAAACGTGGCGGGAAACGTAAAATGAAAATTGAAAAATTGGAAAAGGGGGAGCACCGGGTTGGAGCACGGCTCGTTATGCTTTATCGGCTCACCGTTATTACCTTCGCTGCCTTGTTGACAATCTCTCTTTATGCTTCGTATTATTTAAAACTTCCTACCCTTTCACGCGATTTCCTCCATGAAATCCCTTCATTTTTCATGGTTAAATTTTAATCAATTATATTCTACGATAATCTGACCAATGTATATTCAATCTTATTGTTCTTTTAACTTCTTTTCTTTCTATTTCTGTATCGTATTATAAGTGTGATAGTCTTAATTAATTTCGCGGCTAAATTTTTTTTAAAATGTCCATCCAATTTTTACAAGTCACGACCATTACTTTTTTAACACTCTGTATCACTCACGCGAAATTCCATTCGCGTTTTATCGAGGCGAGTACGTAGGCGGCTGTGAATTGATTCGATTTTCGTCGTAGAATTATGATGTATCGTCTTTCCCCATGGACACGATGTCGTTACAAATCCCGACGATTATCGTGCACGGCTGTATGTAAATGCGAGAAGGGCTCGCGTGTAAACCGTTCTCTTTTGGCTGCAGGTACAGCATGCATGACGACGCGCTTCTTAACGACACTGCCACGTGCTTTCACGGCTGTCGAATTATCTTCCACGAATGCTTCTTCATGTTCGTTGTCGAAAAACCATTAGCCCGTTCGAATCTCGTCGCTGTTACTTTAACCTACCCTAATTCGACATTTTGTTAGTGTGCCGACGAAGAGTTCGAGGGAAGTTAGTTTCGGTAAGCGACTGATCCGCGAGCGTGCCGAATCGCGTTGATTGATCATTTATAAATTAAATACTTCACCGTTGATCCGTTAGAATCGAATTATCCCCCGGATGGATATTTCATTCGAAAAGATTACATTGCTAATCGTTATTTTAATCTTACGCTAGATATTTTAACCCTCCGATGGCGAACCACGAAGAATTTTAATTTCATTTTAATTTTATTCTCATTTCTTAAATTTCACACTGTTCCTTTGAAAATTTTACATTTAACTTCGAGTTAATATTCTTCTATGCGTTTTGTAAATTTCGGTCACGATTGATCCAAGCTTCGATGTTCATAGGTTGAACATCGAAGCTTCAGTGGTCATCCGGTTGCCTACAAAAGGGGTAAGATTTCTGAGCAGTAATCTATTTATCGTTTGAGTATGTTTTTAAGGAATATTAGGACGATAAATCAGCTCGATAGAGTTTGTAGATCGTTTCCTTTTTGTTCTGTCACGAATCGGTGTAACCGTTATCAGTGGCACGGTTTTATCGTGATCCGAATGTTCGTGTAACAGCAGCGTGGAAATGCGCACAGTAGTTTTAAAATATGATCGAGCTCCGCAACAATTCAACGGGCTCCCTGCGATATTATCTGACGGCAAATAGGTACAGGTACTTCCCGTGAGTCAGGTAAGGAATTTACCGAGACTACTGTCACGGTTTCTTCCTGTACATACATACACGCTCGTTGAATCGATACGACACGTACGCCTCTAGGAATGTTAAACGACTGCGGTGGAGCAAACACAGTTTGCTCGTTAAAATGAAATTATCGTCATGCGAATGGTACCGAACGATTTTCGTCTCTGGCGAACACAAGCCGAGCTTTTATCCTCCGATTTTTTCATAATTCTGTTTGCTATGAAATTATTAGCTTAACGTGTTTGCGTATCGTTTCACGTTCGTCGTGTTTCGAGGCCCGAGAAACATTTTATTTATAATAAATCGCAAAGGTTCGTTGAACCAAGCTGTAAGCAATTTATCTCTAACGTTTCAAAGTTTTGTTATCGAGCAGCCTGTACGATGTTATTAATTAACTTTACCTTCTTCGGAACAGGTAATTTAGTTTGTCTCGCGTTGCGATCGCGAGCCTCTTTAATCGAAATTCAATTTCGCGTATCGCCAGGGATTTTCAGCGAAGCATAACGTTATTAGCGGCGAGCATGCTCGCTCGTCGTGCAGCTTAATAATTCGTATCAACTTTGTCGTTAATTTCAATTTCGATCGGTATGAGAAGTTAATCGGGATTATGTTCTTCCTTATTTTATTTTATCTGTCATATTTGTTGTAAATCTTAGGTCTGCTAATATTCTTTTTTAAATTTACACATTATACGGTAGAATACCCGTCGAGGCTGATTTCGCCGGATGAAAACTGAAAGATTGGTATCGCAACGGGCGAAGAAGAGAACGTCAGAGGTAATTTTTCTGCCATAAATTTCGTCGATTCAATCTCGCGTCCCGAGGCGTGAACTATGCCCGAACATTTGTCCTGTGGACAAGAACTGGTTTGCCAAGCATTCTCGTTTCGACAGTCGTTCGTAGGCGCGAGAAAGCGAGGGAAATAAAAGAAAAGAGAAAAGAAAAGGAAAGAAAAGTGGATGAGAAGAAGTCGCGAAGGGTGCGCCCTTCACGCATCGCGGCTGCACGCTGATTTATGGTGCGACGAAAATTATTGCCGCTGTTAAAATACCTCGAGGCGTATTTATTGACAGACACGCGTTACCTCCGCGAGGCTGTTCGTGAAACGAGGCGGCTCTTGAGACGACAAGACTGTACTTAAGTCGACTCTAAATGCCGGCTGTAAAGCCTCTGGCGTAAACGAATCGCGAGGGTACGGTTTTCGACAGCAACGGGACACGTTTCTTCCAAATATGCAACTTTAATGGCCTCCCGTACAGGCTTTCGGCCTTCTCGGCCGGTTTCCACTTCGATTAAATAAATTGTTTTCCGGGCCAATCCTTTAAAACCCTTCATCCTTTTTATCGTTTCAATCTTACTTATCTTTTCTGTTCTTTCATTATGTTGCTTGTAAAAGATATCATGTGCTTTTAGGATGAAATTTTGAGGTTCTTTAAACGGTATAAGATAACGTAATAGAAAATGAATTGAAACTAACGTTAAAGATAGAAATGATATCTTATATACTTTTGGTTTTTCTCATTTCTGGCAACACTTTTCAAAATTACTCGGAAGCATTTTCAGGATCGAAACGACGAAAGTCGTGGCACGCTCGCGGGCCGTGGTTAAAACGTGGTGGTGGGCGACTAAAATTAACCTTTCCGGCAACAACCCCTACGTTTCTTCGTGCAAACATGCAGCAAGAGTTCGTGTTCGCCGCTGTTAAATCGCCCGTGCTCGTAATATTCGAGCAAAGATCCGTAGCGTAAACTGGCGTGGCAAAAATTGCGTACGTGAGGCAACTGCTTACGGCTTCGTTCGCCAACTAGCCGCTTCCTATTTATACCGACCGGTACAATGTTTCCTCCTTATCAGTGTCTTATTGTCCTCGTCGCGACTAGCTGGCTTTATTAACTTCCTACCGAGGGGTAGTAACCTCTCCATACTCCTGTTTCTTCGCCCCGTTCAACCCTAAAGTACAACACGGCTAACGATAAGGCGGATCGTTCATTTTCTCTCAGACTTTTCAAATAACCGTTGACACAACTGAAGAAATTGAGATTTCGTATAAAACAACCAAGTTTTATTCGCGTTGGAATATTTTACGTTTGTTACGTAAACCATTAAAGTGTTTCGTAGTGGAAGCAGAAAAACGGGGATGTGAAATAAAGGAGAACTCTTCAGTCGAAGAAGGAAGGCATAAAAAGCTTTGATGGTCCATTTTCTGACCATAGGGACATAATATTTATTCGTCAGCGAGCTGCCCGCGAACCGGGCGTATCACCGGACCCGAGTGCATTAACAAAATAACGTAATAAAAACTGTCCCCGCGGACCTTACTTCCACTTTCCATAGTCTCTTCCCTGTTGCGTCAATGCGGCTTCTTCCTCTTGTTCTTCTTTTTCTAGGTGGCCGCTCGTAAAATCCGATACATTGTGCGACCAACCGTGCCGTATTCGTCATGTCTGCCGACGACTGAGACACGCGATCAACGAGACGAAAGGATTGACCCTCTCCATTGAAACGCCCGCGGTCAGCCCTGAAGTAGCTTCGTCCCTGCCGTTCCAAGCATCGATTCATAGGGTAAGTCGTAATAAAACTTTTTTCTTCTTTTATGCTGAAATTTTTAACGCGATACTACAATTCGGCGTTTTTACTGCCACGAACCATTAATGATATTTTTGCGAAAATCATGGTCATGGATGGAAAGTCTCCTAAGTAATAATATAATTTCGCAAATTCAAATGGAAAATGAAATTCAAAGACGTTAGACGTCCTCGCGATATTACCGAGCTTACGAGCAACCATCGGTGCAGTTCAGACAGTTTTTAGGGTCAACCGAATAACTAATGCAAATACGCTTCCGCGCAAGCCATTATTTCACCTCCCCTTTTCATGGTCCTCCCTTAGTCTGGCTGGAGACGAGGATCTTCGTCTCCGTTATCCTCGAATTTCACACTGGTCCGTGCTGTCCCTCTCTCTCTCGTCTCGCCTTTGGGAAGAGACATTACGCGAGATCTTAATGCTCTTCGTTATCAATTAAGACACGATCGTCGCAATTAATTCCGTGGCCGGTCTGGGAAACGAGAAGCGGAAACGGCGTCGCGCGAAAGCGAACTAGGGACCACGTTTAGAGCTCCTTGGTCCGGCATGAATATCTCGACGTCATTTAACGATTCTGATTAAGCGAGAGCACTTCGGGTTTGTTTCATTTCGCTTGACAATGACGGTGTTCGCCTTTATTTCGACGCTATTCTTCGAGTCCAATAAGTACTCTTAGTTTCGCGATGTCGCGATAGTTGATTTTCTATTCTACTTGAAATAAAATTTTCAAAACTTACGTGAGTGTGTTACATAAAAATTTTTATTTTACTGTAAAAACGAAGTAAATATTTCTTTATAAAAAGGAATATAAACGTAATTTAAAGAATAGTACTCCAGACAGTTGATAAAGAGTACATCAGAGATGCAATGCAAGTTGCATATCCCCAGGCGACCCTCTCGCGCCATTATTCAATTACATTCTAAAAGTACATACAAATTATCGATTCGACGAAATTGCTGAAAATCTACCGACATCGATCAGTGCTCCGGTTATTAAAAATAAATCGCGTTACCCCGTAACCAGGAGTAATTACAACTCCCAATTTGTCCGGTACCCAGGAGGCAGCGATGCGACATTACTCATCCACGTCGATGATTCCGCACGCGACAAGATTAATGCAATACGCCGAGTTGACCGGGGATAATTAATCTAAAACTTTCGAGCCACGGACCGGATCGAAACGTGAACCGAACCGTTGAAGAAAAAAAAGCGCACAAAAAGGAGTAATGAAAACGAAGATAGAGAGGGAAAAAAAAAAAAAACGAGAGCAAAAGGTGGAGGTAAAGGGGGGTACAGAGTTTCCTGAAAGGACGAGAAGGGTTGCAGCTCGAAATTGAATTAATATGCATAGCCTCGCGAGGTCCGGTAGACGGACGGTGATGGAGCGACGAAATCTATCTTCGACGCGCGTCCCGGTGGCCGGAGAACAAACCTGTAATTTGTCAGAGTGGTGGTCTCTAAGCCCTGGCATTATAATTTACGCCTATGCAGAGAGCAAACTATAAAGGCAGAGAGAGACAGAGGATTAACAGGGTTGAACGTAACGCTAGCTGTTGGTTCTGTAACGTGAATCGATCGGATTAGAGAGCAGAGTTAGATATTCATGGGTCAATAATGAATTTTGTCTATGAATTCTTTATGAAATCATGATTCTTTTGTTAAACGTCTGGCTGAACATATTTCCTCGACTTTCATGCTACCATTCGTCCAAGCGACTTCGCGTTTCATTGTTAACCTCGTTACACCGTGTTCTCTCGTTTTTCACTTCCATGTTGCTGGTAGAAATCCAGAAAATAGCAGCACTTGGTTTGCGACGAGTCGTTAAATCGCCCCTTCCTCGACCGGAGGATTTGTCATGTTTCTTCTCGTGGTTGCCGGTATCTTAAGCCGGTTTCTTCTTAAACTCCACGGAAGAGGAGCTTGCTATCTCTTTCGGCGAAGCAGCGAGAAAAAAGTCGCGAGACGAGACGACGAGAGGAGAATCCGTTAAATTACAATGGGCATGCGGTGTCGCGAGCGTGTTAGAATGTCTTCGTCCTCGTATGTGCGGAGAGGAAGCGTATCATAAGTTACCGGATGGCGAGAGGGACTCGTGACGTCGGCCCAGTCCATATTTCATGCTTTTGTTCGATTCTGTCGGGCATTATTTTAGGTTACGTCGAGAAATGCTTTCTGAATCGCGGTTTACCGTTCTCTCCTTCTTTTTTCCCTTTTTTTTTTCTGTTCCCTTGGTTAGCCGATAACCGAGAGGGAGAAATATGTCGAGTTTCCTGCTGGCTGGCCAACCTTACGAGGGCTCTAATGCACCCCTCTTGTTTCAGCCACAATTTTGTCCTGTACTATCGATACCCGATGTTATTCGCCTTTTTCTCGACTCAGCTTGGACAAATAACGTCCATTGAACGATTAGAATTTCTTAGTTCCAAAGTGTATACTGAAGATTATTAGAAAGACAAAGCACTTGTCGTTTAACAAAATCTATGCTCCCTTTCTTTCATTAATAGTTAAAATGCTTTCGTACAAGAGTAACCAGAAAGCATGCGGCGTTTTAAAGTATTTTCGGCGATATAAGGGGTTGACTTATGGCGTGTGACCCTCCATACCCCGAAAAGAAAACGAGGAGACACCGAGATTCGTAATAAGAGGGAGGAAGAACGAAAGATGAGAAAAGGGAAGGGGAGACATACGCGGTGGCGTCTCGACCGGGACGACCGGGATATTGCATTGTGTTTTCTTTCGGGACAAATGATTTACCGTGTTTCCCCTTATATTGCCGCGAGCTACTACAGCCCCGCAAAAACACGTAAGGGGTTGCGAGGAGTCACCGTGAGCCGTCGAGGGCGAACCAGCGAGAGAAAGGGGGCGGAGGGAAAGCGAACCGTACGATATGGGAGGTATTACATATTTATGGGCTTCTGGTACGGGCACGGAAGCAAATTTCAGGCAAATCTTGCTCGGAAATAACGTTAGAACCATTCGAATGTAAGGCCTCGACGTTTTCGTAGACGACGAATATCGGCTGCAAGAATATTATTTTTCCTTCGAGGCGGCCGAGACCCGCTCGACGAGCGTACTATTTTTGCGCCACCGCCACCGACGATTTTCGACCGGCTTTATTGCGTGTTAAACTCGGATATTTGAACCGTTTTTGCCTCGTGGATCCTGATAATCGGGGGTCCCGTTCTCTCCCTGCTTATTTTTGCGAAGCACGTGGTTCGTTACGTTCGCGATTGGCTCATTTTTCCGGGGAGAATTTTATTTAAGGAACTTGCGGTCGCGTTAGAGATAGTCTTGCCGGTTCGTTTTAGTCTTGATTTTGTCACTGACAGTGTTGAACATATTTTTTATAGTTGAGGATAATTGAAATGAAAAACTCAAAGTTTTCTTTTTTTTTTTTTTTTTATTAAATTAATGTCAGTCGTTGGTATTCCAGTTGCAAATACTCCGTACACAAAGAACTCGATAAATTGGTAGACGGGGAAAGTTTATTCGAAGAAGTTTGCAAATTAATCCAGGAGAAAGTTAACTCATAGAAAATTCTGTCGTCGAATCTACATTTGGGTTAGTTAGCTCGTAGAGAATTCTACGAGGCAACTTGCAGGAAATAACAAGCCAACGGTATAGCAATCATGCAAATTACCGTCGGTGATACCGGCATTATTCATTTCCCATCGAAGGGCCACCTCGTGTTCCTTGATACGATGGGAAGGTTGAAAGCGTGGCAATTACCGTTTCTTTGTTCCACACGTTGAAGAATAATAGCGAGACTCGCGCAGCCATCAAGACATTATCGTTAATAGCGTCATTAACGTGAGATATCGGTGTGCATCTTCGAAGAACCGGAAAAGGTTAACCTCGATTTCGTGCCGGCCACCGGAACTTAATGCCTGCCGACTTCCGATTTGTTTCGGTTATATTTTATGCGACAGAGACGGCGGGGACCGTGGGTCAGCGAAACGACCCCAGGGGTGGATCGTGGCTCGCTGCTCGACGAATTATTGAATATTGAGCAGAACCGCTTCTTCATGATCGTCGTCGAGGGAACGAGAAACAATGGCGGCTCGTGATCGCGACTATAATTTCCGAAAACCACCCCTCTACGATACGTTCCTTCATCGAAAACGCATAAACCTCTTCCCATACATGAAGAGACGAATTTTTATGAAACAAATCAGAAAATCATCAGATAGAGATGATAGTTTTGAAATAATTTAATGGTAGGATCATTTCGAGTAATTCGAATATGTTTTCTTGCTAAACACTTGAGGCCATTTTCGAGCTATCCTCTTAATTCGTTCAGAACGCTCCTTGAACAGTCATTTAAGATATCCTCCTCTTCTGTCTCTCTGGTTTCACTCGAGGAGGCGGTTCGTTGGAATTAGATTCGCAGGCTGAAAAAGGCTGCAAAGCACCGAGGAACGTTTCCCGCGTGCAAGTGGAAAAGCCTCCTCTCCAAGTTTCCTTCCGTGTCGTTTCAGCCAAGCGACCGAGTAATTTTCGATTGCCAAGGCGAAGCGACGGATGAATAAGTAAGAAGATATCGAGCCTCGAGCAGTTTGCGTTCACTTTGTAGTTCGTCCGACTATCTCCGTCTGGCGGATACGTGGCTGCTGCCACGGTCGAAAGGGGTTCGGGGTCCTGCCTTTCCATGGGATGCTCGGCTTTTCGGCTACGGTATGGGGGATGGGTGGGTTTGGGTGGCTGGATACACTGGCACGGGATTTCGCGAGCAATTACGTGATTAAGACGCCTCCGGCTATGCTTGGGGTCTACTAAGTACGTACTTAGGTCTGATCCGTTACCGTGCTAACTGGCTGCCTCTTCTCTTCGCTCCGTTCCGTTCCGTTCCGTTCCTTTCCCTTCCGTCTCGTTCTGTTTCTCCCTTTCCGTCCTCCTCTTCTTCGTCTCTCTGTACGCGTTTCATGGAGCTGAACGGTTGCCTCTTCTTCTCGCGGAAAGCTACGAGCGTTCAGTTAAC